TTTTAATTTAAACCTTTCCTTTTGCTCCCCGTCCGTCATTCTTCCCCTCTCTCCCTTTAGCTCTGCATCTGTGACACGTAGCTGTAGCCGTCCTGGTGGTTCCTGTGTTCTTGGACCTCATCTCAGTACGACCACTCCAACGGCAGCGCTGGATTCTCCTAGTAGCTAAAGAGGTCGTCCAGCCTCAACATTATCCTCTTACTTATTGTAGTCCTCCCTCCCCGTTCGTGGTACTCAGGGATCTCCTTAATTTTGTCGAACGGTTCTATAGGCCAAATCTCTTATTATTATTACTCTAGCTATACATCCAACTGGTCGGTTGGACAACTACAATTAACTACCCAGTGCAGCGGGGGAGTTATCCACCACTCCGACACCAGCCTCCACATCGCCCTTCTTTACAGTCATGCTGCTCACTTCAGACCTGGAGTGGCCGAAACGGTTGATTCCAGTGACCGTCATCGAGTCGGTCTGGAGCAAGTACATGTACCAGTAGTAAACACCTGGGCCTCATTAGCACGAGTTGTATAATCCCGAAACGGACATGTCCACTTACCGCAGAATAAGCCTCCACCCAAGATATTGCCGATCAAGGTCGGGATGATTCCTTTCCAGATGTACAGACCCACTGTGATCTCGGGAGCGCCGACCCAGATAGCCAGCGGGATAAACGTCATGTTGGCCACGACGTGATCGAACCCGAGAGATACGAACGCGAAGATCGGCCACCAGATGCCGATGATCTTGGAGGTGAGGTCCCGGCCCTGGATGCCGAAGAAGCAGGCGAGACAGACGAGCCAGTTGCATCCGATGCCGCGGAGGAAGATCATATGGAACTCAGGGGTGACTTGCTTTTTCGTGGCGAAGGCGATCACTTGCGACTTGAACGGATCGGCGGAGAAGACGTTGCCGTCTGTTGCTGTGTTAGCGGTGTTGCTCCGGAGGGATTTTGGGGACGTTGCGAGGACTGGACCTACACCCGAATATGATGGCAACGATGAAGAGTGACCCAGCCAGGTTGCCGAAGAATGTGACGATCCAGTGGATCAACATCTTGTGCCATGGCAGCCGGCGTTGGAGAGCAGCGACGGTGGTGAACTGGTATTTACTTAGCGGCCCTTTCTACAGACAGGAGAGGTCGGAAGCCGTACCATGAAGGATCCGGTGCACAGATCCGCCCCGGTTAAGATAATCATACATAAGCCGTAAGGGAAGACTAAGGCGCTGATCGTGCGGATGAGTCCCGGCGCGTTTTCCTGGAACCAGGGCGTGGAGTTGGTGCTGAGGACGGTCCCACAGGCGAAGGCAAGCAGACACCCAGCCGATACTGCGCTGAAGAAGATTTTGTCGAGGCGCATATTACCCTTGGCAACTCCAGCACGCCCGACGAACTCGATCACCTCGGCCGGGGTGAAGGCATCCAGGCTGATTTGCGACATGGTTGCTTTAGGGGTCTGGAGCTAGACGGATCACACAAGGACGGCCCGGAGGAGCTCGTAATGCAGGCGCAGGGGAGTTCAATGAAGACCAGGACGATGGCGCATGGCAACCCCGACGGGTTGGGTCATGATGCCCACATATACCCTGGCGTCGTCAACCTTATCGAGGTATTTTATCCGGGGTAACAAGAGAATCGAGAGACCACGATGATCGACTGTAATATCGATGATCAGAACAAAGTTAAAATGGTGCTTATCGAGCGCCCGTCACTGGGAGACGACGGCGGGTCCACTTTCCCATGCATAACATTGAAGACCCGTGCATCTTAGTCGGCATTTTCAGGGAGCAAGACTGCAAGAGGCTCCGCCGATCGAGAGATAAGAGTTGAGATAGGGAACCCTAAGTGCCTCGGGGCGAACCAGATCGAATCCACTTATCAGCCCAGTGATAAGGAATGCGACGCCTTCTCCGCGGGCTCCATCGCCGGTCATGATAAGGGTCCTTGAACAGTGTTAGCTTTGACAAATGCTCCATGATTTATAGGACAGCACGACTACTAGTCCATGGGTCCTGGCCTTGTGGGAAAGGGGCCCACCATATTGCAGACCCCATTTGGTGGCTCTTCTAGTTTCGCATTAGGCATGATAAGACCTTAAACTATGGAAAAGAATTCCAGCCCAGGCTCAAACTGCGGTCCGAATGACGCCTAGGTACTCCTCTTTATTTCGCGTTCTCCTTATATAGGTCCTTCTGGGGTTTTGCCTCTCCCTTGGATGGCCCCACAGAGCGGATCTTGATTTGCATCTTGACTGAAGAAGTCATCAACCCTCTCAGCCCGTTGTTTGGAGTGAAGCATCAGCTCGTACTGCGATTGACGCGGTCGCGATGAAGTAATTTATGTGCAATATCTGTATGACCGTTATGAGAAGGTCCAGGATATACCATGGTGTCTTCATCCGCGCCTGGGCCGGTAGACCTGCATCTGTATGTGTCTTCTGTGAGCTTTACTCTTGAAGTACCATTAAAACATCGCAATATACAGCGAAGCCCACAAGGCTAGTAGCTTCATAGTATGACGAGTGCCTACAGAGTTACGATCTGGGCGTACCCTTACCTTTTTCAGAAAAAAAAAGAGTAAAAAGGTGGGAGAAAGACGGGAGAATCAGTGGATGAACATGGACACTCACTTGAGTACATACGTACATACAATATACCTTAACTAACATGGTCTTCACAGCATCTCCGCTCAGCTTCCAAGAACCTGCCCTCAGCTGCCCATCCGCCAAAGGGATGAGATCGACATCTGTCCATTCCACCCCTGTTCCTTCAGCTGAACCCATTTCCCTGGCCTCGCAGCCCAGCCCCGCTTCAACAAAAGTACTACACTGCACGCAATTGACCTGATGACTGCCTATACGGACAGCCAGTGGCCCATAATATACAGAATAAGTAGCTTGGCGAAATTTCTTGCGTGGAAAGTCAGTTACATCGCATATCAGGGTTCTTCGGTCCGTCGGCGGGAATTGCGGGCGTAAGGTATGTTTAAGACCTCTTGAATCATGCAGCATCACCCATCGGACAATTACTGGTGGGACATTACTTTCTCTCTCGTAACAACACTCGGCTTTGTCGCATGACATTACTGCTCCCGGCATGCTTATACGCAACATGACATCTCAACCGTGGAATCGAGTGCTTGCGCTTCGTTCCGATTTGACGGACCCAACGCCGGGCCTCGTGGTCTTTGTTGATCTATGGGAAGTTGGATTCTACATGATCAAGCATGTCCTAGGAACTGTAGATCTCCTCGGAGTTCGAATCCTTGTGGCTTGCGTATATAATGGCGATAGTTGGTTCGGCGCTCTTCTCTATTATATCCTCCGTCTTATATAGCTTACTGTTTCAATCTATTGTGGATACACATAACTGTGATTGCCTCCTACAATGAACACCGCATTCAGATCCTTATATCGTACCAGGAGTTGTTTCGCGTCAGTGGCTACTGTTCGGGGAGTCAGACAGCTTGCGCCTCGACTGCTCTCCAGCCCATCCCCACTACGGAGTCCACTCCTTGCGAGACACATCTCAATCAAACCCAATGGAAGCAATGGCGGTCCTCGAGTCAAATATGCCCTGCTTCTTCCCACCGCCGCCGCCACACTCAGCTGGCTCCTCTACGCTCAACAGCAAGGCGCTGTCTGGCTAGACAGCGACGAGAAAGACTTCACCCATCGGGTCCCCTTATCTCCCAAAAACGGGATTCAAGATACACAGAAAAAGACCCCCAAATCCCTAGAGGCCGAGGACCTCCCGACAGAGAAAGCGATCCTCACCACGCGCCCAACGTGCCGCCACCGATCACACGAGACTACCCAGTGCTCCTAGACGTCGACCTCACAACCGTCAGCAAACTGGAGCAACTAACAAACCAATACAAATACGAGAAATGGACATTCAACAACAGCGTCCCGGGGCCGTTCATCCGGGCGCGCGTCGGCGACGTCGTCAACCTGAGAATAACCAACCACGACGAGTCCGGCATGCCGCACAATATAGACTGCCACGCCTTCGTGGGACCCGGGGGCGGCTCCGCGCTGACGACAGTCAACGAAGGCGAGACCAAGACGGCGAGATTCAAGCTCCAAAACCCCGGTCTCTTCATCTACCACTGCGCCGTCGGCCCCGTGGGCGTCCACATCGCCAACGGCATGTACGGGCTCATGTACGTGCAGCCGGAGCATGACCTGCCCGCCGTCGACAAGGAGTACTACGTCATGCAAAGCGAGTTCTACCACGAGCCGCCTGAAGCAGACGACGACGGACAGATATCATCGACGGTCGAGTTCTCGTGGCCCCATGCCCTGCGCGAAGCCGCCGACGTAGTGGTGTTCAATGGCAGCGAGGAGGCCCTCACCGAGAAGCCGCTCAAGGCGACGCTCGATGAGACCGTTCGCATCTTCTTCGGCAATGGCGGCCCGAATCTCACCAGCTCGTTCCATGTGATCGGGACCTGTTTCAAGAACGTGTATCGCGATTCGGATGTGTTGAGTCCGCCGGCGCAGTGCGTGCAGACGGTTACCGTGCCCCCCGGCGGGTCGACGATTGTGGATATGAAGATGGTCGTTCCGGGGACGTACACCATTGTGGATCATGCTATTTTTCGTCTGGAGAAGGGCGCTAAGGGGTTTCTGAATGTTTCGGGGGAGCCGAGGCCGACGTTGTACTATAGTACGCTACCGCCACAGCCCTGTGAGGGTTGTAAGCTCCACCCTTGAGTTTGTGATTTGGCACGCATAATAGCACCAGCGTCACGTATATATTTGCATGGCATCGACATCTCCAATCATATTATAAGCTAATGTAATAAGTTCAAATACGAGAAAAGGAATGGGGTGACATATGGATCACGTCACAACGTCACCAGTAAACTCAAACCCTAATTAGCAATGAACCCAAACTCAATGCAGCGCAAAGAGTCCACGGTTAAAAGAACCGCCCTTTTCCAGAGCCCATCAGCCAAATCATGTCTAAAATAAATGTAATTCTAGAACCCACATACCAATGCTAACCAAAATGATGTTCATCCCAAGACTCGTCGTCCCCCGCCTGGCCCTCCCCCTGGCCAGAACCTTCACAACAACAGCCTCCAGGCACAAACTCACCCCCCAGCAGATCCAAATCGTCAAGTCCACGATCCCAGCCCTCGAAGCTCACGGCGTCGCAATCACAACCCTCTTCTACCAGCGTCTCCTCCAGCAACACCCCGAGCTCAAGAACATCTTCAACACCGCCCACCAAGCCACAGGCGAGCAGCCCGCAGCCCTCGCCCACTCCGTCTGGGCGTACGCCACCAACATCGAGCACCCGGAGGCCTTGAAACCGGCCATTTCGCGCATCGGCCATAAACACGCCAGCCTGGGGATCACGGCGGACCAATACCCGGCCGTCGGGGAGGGCCTTCTCGCCGCGATCAAAGAGGTGCTGGGCGACGCAGTCGATGACCAGGTGCTCGATGCCTGGAGAGCCGCATACGGGGAACTGGCGGGGTACTTCATTGACTTCGAAAGCGAGCTCTACCGCCAAGCGGAAGCAACGCCGGGCGGATGGAAGGGATGGCGGAAGTTCTTTATCTCGAAGAAGGTCAATGAAGGCGAGGAGATCATCTCGTTCTACCTCACGCCGATCGATAAGGCTGCACTGCCGGCGTATAAGCCGGGCAGTTCGTCAGTGTGAAGTGCTTCGTCCCGGAACTGGGGGTCTACCAGCCCCGGCAGTATAGCTTGTCGGATATGCCGAATGGAGAGTACTTCCAGATCTCGGTGAAGAGGGAGTCTGCGCTGGGACCGAAGCCGGCCGGGCGGATTTCGAATGTGCTGCATGAGGGCTTGCCCGTGGGCGCGGAGCTGGATGTTAGTATGCCGTTTGGGGATTTCGTGTTGGATGTTAATGCCACTACGCCGGTCGTGCTTATTAGTGGCGGGGTGGGGCTGACGCCGATGATGTCCATGCTGAAGACTATTGTGGATCTGGGAGGCTCGAGGCGCGTGGTCTTCATTCATGCTGTGCGGAATGGTCGCGTGCATGCGATGAAGGACCGCTTGGCTAAGATTATTACTGAGAATCCACAGGTTCATCGTGCGGTGTTTTACGAGGAGGTTGATCAAGAGGACAAGCAGGGCGTCGACTATGACTTTACAGGCAGGGCGGATCTCCACAAGATTAAGGACCAGGCCGTTCTCCCGGATGCGGATTACTATATCTGTGGTCCCAAGCTGTTCATGAATGCGCAAAGTAAATCTTTGAAAGATTTAGGTGTGCAGGAGGACCGGATTCATATGGAAGTGTTCGGTTCCCCGGCGGAATAAAGAGGATGTGAGAGCACTTCTTAGAATAGAAGTCATGAGGGAAAGAAGCGTACAGCACAGCTCCATATAAGCATCATGTTTTCGGTTTTCCAATACGGTGTTTATTCATGTCATGTACCGTGAATGTCATTAATATAGTTTAATTTTTCATGCGTCACAGTCCCTCTGCCAGCTTGGTCAAGGCATCGCCGTCCACCATCATCTTCATCCACTCCTCCATACCCTTCGCCCCAACCTGCTCATAGAACTTGATACTGGGCTCGTTCCACTTGAGCACACTCCACTCCAGCCGGCGTCCCTTAACCTCCAGCACCTTAGCCGCCAAATACCTCAACAGCTTGAACCCATACCCCCTACCACGAGCAGCAGGCTGCACGTAGAGATCCTCCAGGTAAATACCCGGCGCTGAGCGCCAAGTCGAGTAGTTATAGAAGAACAGGGCCATGCCCACGGGGGTGGGCGTGGCATTGTCCGGCGTGGCGGGGGGACTGATGAGCGCAGTATATACGGAGCCTCGCTTGGGAGGGCTGTCGGGGAAGGAGAGAGTCTCAAGGAGGGATTCGTTGGTGGCCTCTACTTCATGAAGGGCCTTTTCGTAGTCGGCTAGTTCGCGGATGAACTGGAGGATTATGGGGACGTCTGGACGGTAGGCCCGAGTTAGTCTGGCATTTTCCCTGAAGATTTATGCGGGGTGGAAACTTGGCGGAGAGCGGCATTCAGCCATGATGTTGACCACGTCTGGCACTCACCTTCGGGCGTCGCGAGTCTAATGGTCGGTTGGTCAGACATGGTGTCTAATGTTTGCCTTGTCACTTGTCAAGAGATGTGGTCAAATTTGTGACTCGGAAGCTGGAGGAGTCGAGGATCCCCACAGGTTAAGTATTTGGATCAGACCCACTGACTATCGCTTTTAGTGGTACGCCTTGTGCTTGACATGATCCACTTGCTTTGCAGCACAGAGAATAAGAAAGAAGTAAATAGATGGAAGAAATATGATCTTACTATGTACCAATAAAATATTATAATACAGGACCTAAGTCATATCTCGAAATATCATAACCCTGGAATTAAGAAGTCTATCGAGACATGATGGCTGACATCCACTTTTGCTCGTCCGTCCTGTTCTTGATTAGTATCACATAGCATATCAACGTAGTATTGGGGGAAAAGAAGGGTTCAGACATACCGATCAAAATGAAGCAGCATGCCCAAAACGGGGATGAGCTGCTTCTGGTAGTTTTTGTCTTTCTGCTCCAAGAACTGGAGGAGAACGTTCTTCAAATAAATATAATCGATAGGCGCATTTGCTCCTCCTGTAGGCGTGTCGCTTCCCCGAACTGATGGGCTGCGGTCCTTGGGCACCGGCGAAGTGAGCGCTGCGGGACCCAGAGTCGATTGAAGACCGCGATGACTGGGGATTCGTACCAAACGAGCCTCTTCAGATAGAGCCTTGTTGGACCGGCGCAACTTGTCCAGTCGAGCGCTGGTTTCTTCAACCGACCGACGGAGTTCTGCCTTTTCTTTCTCTAGGTCTCGGACTTGCTTCTCACTTTCATCCAGCGAATCGCGCAAACGTGCCATTGCCTGTCGCACATCATTGAGTTCCTGCGTCGACCGCTCGGCCTGCTCCTCCAGTTGGTCACGTCTGCGCTTCCAATCCTTCTGCGACATCTCGAGCTCTTCTTTGTCCTCCTCGGCGCTGCGCAGTGCTTTTTCTGCTTCTCGGACCTTATTCTTCAGCTCCTCCAGCTCCCGCGCCCGACGGCGGCCCTGTGCGCTAGCCTCATCCTCAGCACGGTCTCTCTCCTCAATGGCTGCCTCCATCCGCTCTTTGAAATCGCGAACTTTAGATTCAGCACGGCCTTCGATGTCGTTCAAGAGCCGCCGCATAGTTTCGCCCTCACGGGTCCTTTCAGTCAGCAACCGATGGGCATCCGCCAGCTCCTCTTCCAGGCTCTCGCAGCGTTCGCGCGCCTCTTTCATCTGCATTCCGATCTCGGCGCCCTGGTCGCGCATGCTATTCATCAGACTTTGCGCGCTAGCGTGCTGAGCGGTCTTCAACTGGATCTCCTCCCGCAGACCCTCAAGGTCCTTGTTCACCTGCGTAACTTGGTTCTGGGCTTCCCGCAGCTGAGTCCGGGTGGCCTTCAAGTCTTCCTGGGCCTTAGAAAGGTCATTTGAAATCCTCTCCTTCGCTTCCAGAGCTTCTTGCTTCTTGCTCTCCGAGTAGCGTAGATCTGATTGAGCGACGGTCAACCTCTCTTCAGCCTTCAAACGATTGTCCGTTTCTTGTCTAATCTTCTGGTTGAGCGTCTTCACTTCTGACTCTCGTTCTGATATTGTCGTCTTGAGGCTCTTCAACTCAGAACGCAAATCTTCCTGCTTGCCCTCAAGAGTCCTCAATTCGGCGGTCTTAGTAGTCAAAGTTTCTTTGGTAGACTTGAGTTCAGTCGATTCAGCTCGTAGTTTCTTCAGCTCAGGCTGCAACTTCTGGAGGGTCTCCCGCAAGTCGGTAAGGTCCTTGAATCGGGTGGACGCTAACTGTTGTGCAGCAGAGAGCTCGGTTTCTAGGGTAGTAAGTTTGACCTTGAGGTTTTCATATTCCTCCTTCAAGTCATTGTGCACCTTTTCAGAATCGGCATCCTTAGTCGCAGTGCTCGTGCGCACGTCGACCAGCTCTTTCTCCAGCTTGGCGATGGTCTCTTCCAGAGCTTTCTTTTCGGCAGTCAACTCTTTCAGTTTATCCTTTGCCTCGACGTGATCTTGTCCGAGATTAAGTAGGTCATCACGAAGAGATTCTATCTCCTCTTTCAGGTCCTCCTCTCCCTTGAGCTTAGAGCTGAGGCGATCGATGGCTGCGTCTTTTTCTTCCACTTGGCGCGTTAAAGATTCGATTTTCTGCTCGAGCTCGTTCGTGTTCGACGACTTCTGATCTGGCTCGGCTACCGGTGTCTGCGTCTCTTCGGCAGCTGGAGCACTTGCAGCTTTGCTCGTGTCATCACCACCACCCTTGCCACCCTTCTTCTTCTTCTTGTTCTTCTTTTTAGAAGCTCCCGTGGCACCGGTGGAGTTGGTCGGTTGGGATTTGGGCTCGGGTGTCTCATTCTTCACTTCGGGGCCGTTCTTCGCAGGCGCCAGACTGTCCCGGAACTCCTCGAAATTGGCTTGCTTGCCGTCCGCAACTTGTTCCTTGGCTTGCTTCCATGTCGTGTTGTCTTTCAGGTTGTTGTCAAGGAAATCGACAATGTTCTGCAGCTCCTCCTTTCGGCTCATATCCGCCTTGAGGCTTGTCATCGTGTCTTCCATATCCTTGAGCTGGGAACGAAGGTTATCTACTAGATTTTGGAGAACACCGAGCCGCTTCTCATTGGCTTCCTTTTCTTGTTTGGCTTTGTCTAGTTTTGCCGAAAGTTCCGACTGCTTCTCAGCATCCTCGGGCTTCGCAGGTTGCGACTGAAGCTGCTCAATTTCATCTGTTTTCTGCTTCAGCTCCACCTTCAGTTTGTCAACCTCATTTTGAGCGTTCTCGATGGTGATCTCGGACGTTGCCAGCTTCGCCGTGAGCGCCTCGACCTCTTCCTGCTTCGAAGCCTTGAGCTTCTCAATCTCCGAATTCTGTTTATCCTTGCTATCACGCAGCTCCACCAGCTCTCGGGTCGCAGTCTCCAAATTGTGCACCATCCCCTCCGTTGACTCCCTTGCCACTGAGAGGTCCCGTTTGAGGTTGTCCGCCTGAGATTTGAGCGTTTCGATCTCTTCCTGTTTTTCTTTCAACTCGGACTCCAGGCGTGGGATCTCGTTATCAAAAGAGAAGAACTCTTCGCTTTCTTCCTTGGCAGAATCCTGCTTCGAAGTAGTGGAAGATTTATCATTCAAGGTAGCGTTATCAACGATCGTCTTATCGCTTATTGTCGAGGCATCCTCTTCCTTTTTATTCTCCTTAAGATTAGTGACCTCATCGTATGCTGCTTTTGTGGCCTTCTGAGCTTCCTCCATTTTCTTCTTGTAGTCATCCCTCTCCGCAGACACCCGCTTCAGCTCCTCCACAACCATGTCGCCTTTTAATGAGAGTTGGTTGAGGTATTCTGTCAACGCCTTCGGATCGCTAATAGAGGCCAACGGGGTGTTCTCACGCAACGCCGCCTCGAAAGGTTCGATAGATAGGACACGCGAATGGGCCATCCGATAAGCTTTCAAGAGCTCTACAGATCACACAGCAGTTAGCGCCGTGGCCCCAGTCACCCTTGTATCGACTTAGTACATACCCTGATACCGAGATTCTAGCTTGCCCAATCTTCGCAGCTTTACCCTGACATCAGGCGGCAGCTCCGACGAAGATTGGTTTGTCTCTGGGGCAGTTGTATTCTCCTTGCCGGCGGACGACTCCTCCGCCGGTGGTTTGCTCTCCCCAGCATTTTCCTCCGAGCCTGCGGACTCCAAGCGGGGCGTGGCTGATCTGCTCGAGCCTTCGTCCTCTCCGATGGCGAACTCAGGCTCAAATTCGTTGGGATCCGGTCCACGGACGGGGGTGCCGGTGTTCCGTCGGGGGCGGGTAGTTCGTCTGCTCGGGGATACATTGCGAGTGGGACGACGAGCGGAGTTGGAACGGGCGAGGGAGTCCTGGGCGGACTTCTGCCGGGCTTGCTCCTCTGCGATGCGGGAGTCGATCGCGTCACGGATACGCTGTGGGTTGCGATGAGGCCGAGCGTTAACATATCAAATCCGGGGAATTTGTTCGACACGTGAGGGTGTTCCATAAATAAATGGATCCGGAAATACTGTACCTGAAACATGACCGTGGCGGGCCTGTGAGCCAGGGCCACAGCTTGATCAATAAGATAGAAACAAGCGAGAAAGAGACGAGAAGCAGTTATTAAAGTAAGAAGGAGAAGGTAAAGAGTCGAAGGGGGCATAGGACAGATAGACTAGGCGGTGGTGATTCGTTGTCAGCGGGATGTGCTGCTGAGTTGACTTGATTGGGCCGCCAAGACTGGCAGAAAAAAAGGAATGACCTGGTCGGAGTATATCAATATACGTAGTACTTTGTCGTTGACCGTTTAAAGCGAGACGATGTCCATCGGATCCTCCCCGGATGAGTAGCTCTAGACTCTGCTTTAGAATTCACTCTATTTTGATCAACTTGTAATTTAGACGATCGCCGGCAATTGACCCGTTTGGCTTCCCTTTTCTCCTCAACAGGTTGATCATCGGCAATTGCAGGTATAGGGAAAGGATCGATATTGGAAATGAACCAGTTGGCCAGTAACTCAAAAAGGAAAATAACAGGAAAGAAGGGCCGTAAGTCATCGTGATCTTGTCACCATCACATGATATTCTACTGTGATAATGCGCCTCAGGCTGCCAAGCGCTTGCGCATAACCGTATTACTGACTAACCCAAAGCATAACTACTAGTTAATCCATATCTACACTGTTATGCAGCGGTATGACGTCGACCTCATTTTTTCTTTTATTTTTTAATTTTTAATTAAAAGGTCATAGTCGCAGTTTTAGTGCTTGCCATTTTAGGTTACGGGAAAATTTGCAGGTGGATCCGTCAGAAAGTGCATCCACAATCAGGCACATCCTCAGTCTCGACCTTTGCCAGGCATATATGCCAAACGTAACAGATATGGGTCATTCACATGACAGATCGACAGAATAGTACTCAAGTAATATACGCTTCTCACACGTTCATTTACTACTACTCTTACTTTTCTCTATCCTTCTAGTTTCTTCCAAGTTCTACTTCCGTATATCCCCAAGTCCAAAAAGAGAAAAAGCCCAATGACCAAGGCGCAGGCTCCCGTGATCGACCTAAACTGAATTCGTATTGCTTTCTTTCTCCGCTTTCCGACTTGATCCTACGAAACCAACCCCGTTTGAAACTCAAAAGGGACCACCCTCATTCTTCACGATCCAGCCAACAGGGCATCTGAGAGCACGTTGTGGCTCGTGAGTAGGGGGGTGGTTGGCGACATTACTCGCATCGGAGTCCCTGAGCGAAAGCTAATCAATCAATCTCGCATACCGGAAACTTCCCCTCCGTCGTCATTGCATCTTCTTGCCGTTGAACGGTTTCATGGGTGGCGGAGACCTCGAATTCTTTTGCGTTCCTTGATTTCCACTGGGGCCTTTTAGCTGCTTTTCTTAAGCTGGTTTAGCGGCTTAAGTCCCCATCCAACAACGTGTTTCCAGCCCAATCCCATTCTACGCAATAACAACCATGGCCGCCGACGGTGGTCCCCTCGCGGCCTCGTCTGCGTCTCTCGATTCAAGTCTAAGCCCTCTTCATGCATCTCCCTCGCCCTCCTCGACCTACATTGCTTCGTCCCTCGCCCTATCTGCTCCCGCCATAGCCGCCAGCTTTTCTGTGGCTTCAACCTTTTCAAATTCTCTTATCCCACCCCCGCCGTTATCCCCTCCTACACCTTCAACCATGGTGGGGTGGTTCGGATGGGTGTTTTCTTTCTTTTTCCAGGTCATCCCAAGCGTCCTGTACTGGGTGATAACGTTTGCAACCATCACGCTGCCCACATGGCTATTCACGCTGTTTTCAATGAGTTTGACCTTCACTATGAATTTCACCACCCTGTAAGTTTCCGACCCCGTGCAATGGGACACTCCGTCGATCGTGCGGTGAAACGCTGACACAATGCTTCAATTGATCCACAGCTTGTTGATCGCGCTGGCGATCGTATCGACCATCAGTTGGTTCATTCGTTACCGGTTCTTGAATATGTATAGTCGTCTACCTCCGGAGCCCCAACGCAAAGAACCCGATCTCGATCTCTTCCCCGATGTCCAGGAAGGGGATTCCAAACCGGGCCTGGCCAATTACCTTGACGAATTCTTAAGCGCCATCAAGGTCTTTGGTTATCTGGAACGTCCTGTATTCCATGAATTGACTCGAACCATGCAAACGAGGAAGCTGATTGCTGGGGAAACCTTGATGCTGGAGGAAGAGAAAGGCTTCTGTCTAGTAGTGGATGGTTTGGTCCAGATATTCGTCAAGTCCATGCGGGACGGAAAATCAAACGTAGACGATGGTTCAACCCGCATGGGGGCAGAGTCTTCTGATGAGGACGATCATCATATGGACGGAAAGCAAGGGTACCAACTTCTTACGGAAGTCAAAAATGGCGCCTCCATGTCGTCCTTGTTCTCCATCCTGTCCTTGTTCACCGAGGATATTCAACTACGAGCCAACGAAGGCTCGTCTTCTAGTGCATCCAGCGTAGGCCCTAGCACTATTGCCCAGGTATCTGACTCGTTCCTGGCGAGTCCTCACGGCTTGGAGGACAGCCTCGTTCTAATTTTATTAGAGATCAAGGTGACTCCGTCGCCCAGATAAGCAACAGTAATGGGGAACTTCTGCCGTCCGTCCCGCCCCTAAACCTAGGAGAAAGCCATGCTGTGCCCAGCCATGAACCCCACCCGGGGCCGGGGAATCATCCAGGCAAGAGACGGCGCAAGTCAGTCCATCCGGATATCGTGGCTCGAGCATGGTGGACACGACCATTGCCATCATCCCAGCCAGCGCCTTTCGCCGTCTGACGAGAGTATATCCGAAAGCGACCGCTCATATTGTCCAGGTGATCTTGACACGGCTCCAAAGAGTAACGTTCGCCACGGCACATTCTTATCTAGGTCTCAACAATGATGTACTGGGCATTGAAAAACAGATGACCAAATTCACGACTCAGGATCTGCCCAACGAAATGCGTGGAGCGGCGTTGGATCGCCTCAAGGACAAATTTATCAAAGAGCGAGACCGCCTGGGCCCGGAAGAGATCATCAAGGGCATTGCACTCCACAATCCTTCTGCTGGCAGAAGACGCCGGTCTAGTAGCTTCCTGAGGAAAGAAGCGGTTCTCCATGCAAAGATGGCAGCACAACCGAAGCGACCAGTGACCATGGCCAACCCAGAGGATATCTCCGGTGACCGCGAGTCGGCAGGGCCGAGCCCCGGAGATCTGTTGTCTACCATTCAACTCTCCCGGTTTGGCCCCCGATACGAACATTTGGCTCCTAAGCTGCTCAGCCCATTAACAGACAAAGAGAACCCCCCTTTTATGGCTCCCGTTATGCACAGCTCGCCATTCCACCGAAAGAAGGACTCAGTTGACGAGGATGCCCTGTTCAGAGAATCCATCCTGGACTGCATCATGAATGGCATCGGACTTACCAGCAGTACTCGCGATGTCTTACGTAAGAGCAGTCATACCTCGGGGGACATATCCCCAAAGCTTCTTTCATACGATTCCCGACGGCAGAAGGCTGTGTTCACTAACAATGCATTCGGCTTCATCGACCCTTACGATGGTTCGGCGGATGGTGAGACGGAATCAATGATGTCAATGTCCATGACCAGCGCCGGTGGGACGTCGCCTATTGTCAACCTACGAGAAGAACTTCGAAACGACATTGAGATCGTCTATTTCCCCCAGGGTTCAGTTCTAGTGGAGCAAGGGGAACGCCATCCAGGCCTCTACTATGTGATCGACGGATTCCTAGACGTAGGTATCCCTGTATCTGACAAAGGAGATGATCTTGTGGGCGGTTCGAGACCGGCATATGGCCCGCCACACGAGGAATTCTTTCCGACTCTGAAGCGGACGACGACCAGCTCCTCTCGCGCATCGGTTATGACGAGTGCCACAAACGATACTAAGCGGAAAAAGCAGTCTCGAAAGTCACTCTATCTTATCAAACCTGGTGGTATTCAAGGATACGTCGGATCCGTTGCATCTTACAGGTCCTATACGGATGTGGTGGCAAAAACAGATGTGTATGTCGGGTTTCTTCCAAGGTCATCCTTGGAGAGGATCGCCGAGCGTTACCCTATTGCACTATTAACCCTGGCAAAGCGATTGACAAGCCTTCTTCCTCGTTTGCTCCTTCACATCGATTTCGCTTTAGAATGGGTGCAAGTAAGTGCAGGCCAAGTCATTTATCATCAGGGAGACGAGAGTGATGCAATCTATCTTGTCCTAAACGGGCGTCTGCGGTCTGTTCTCGAAGGTACAGATGGCAAGATCACAGTCGTTGGCGAGTATGGTCAGGGAGAAAGCGTTGGGGAGCTAGAGGTCATGACAGAGTCGACACGCCCGGCGACTCTACACGCTATCCGGGACACCGAGCTAGCTAAATTCCCGCGATCCCTGTTCAACAGTCTTGCGCAGGAGCACCCGGGGATTACTATCCAGGTCTCTAAACTCATTGCTCAGCGGATGCGGGATCTCGTTGAGCTTCCCATGTCCGAAAAGGGCGGCGATCATGCCAACGCTGGCAGCGTCAAGACCGCCGCCTCTGTGGTAAATCTTCGTACCGTTGGTATACTCCCCGTAACGGCTGGGGTTCCCGTGGTAGAATTTGGCCATCGCTTGCAGAACGCACTTCACCAGATCGGCGTGACGAATGGCGTTACCTCCCTCAACCAAGCGGCGATTTTGAATCATCTCGGACGACATGCTTTCAGCAAGATGGGGAAATTGAAGTTGTCCCAGTATTTGGCCGACCTCGAGGAAAAGTACGGGATGGTACTTTATATCGCAGACACCAACGTGAACTCCCCATGGACGCAGACCTGCATTACGCAAGCCGACTGCATTCTGCTCGTTGGCCTTGCCGAGTCGTCGCCCAGTATCGGCGAGTACGAAAGATTTCTACTTGGGATGAAAACAACGGCCAGAAAAGAACTCGTGTTGCTACATTCCGAGCGGTACTGCCCTCCCGGGGTGACGCGCCAATGGTTAAAGAACCGGATGTGGATCAACGGAGGCCACCATCATATCCAGATGGGCTTCCGTTTAACCCCCGAACCCTCACATCCCCAGGCGAAACGGCTTGGGGCCGTTCTAAAACAACGAGTTCAGGTCATCCAGGCAGAAATTCAAAAATATACATCGCGGCGGATTCGCCAGACACCTCTCTACTCGGCACAAACTCCGTTCAAAGGCGACTTCCATCGCTTGGGTCGCCGACTTTGTGGCAGGTCTGTTGGACTCGTCCTTGGTGGCGGCGGGGCTCGAGGTATTGCCCAAGTTGGCGTCATCAAAGCACTGGAAGAGGCCGGGATCCCTATTGACATCATTGGCGGCACATCCATCGGCTCATTCATTGGAGCTTTGTATGCACGGGATGCGGATGTGGTTCCCATGTATGGCCGGGCGAAGAAGTTTGCCGGTCGCATGGCTAGCATGTGGCGGTTTATGCTGGATCTCACGTATCCCACCACCTCTTATACCACTGGCCATGAATTCAACCGGGGAATCTTCAAGACCTTTGGAGATAGCCAGATCGAGGACTTCTGGCTGGAGTACTACTGCAACACCACCAACATCAGCAAATCACGACCTGAATTCCACTCATCGGGTTATACTTGGCGCTACGTGCGTGCATCGATGTCATTGGCCGGTCTGATTCCCCCGATTTGCGACGAAGGCAGCATGTTACTTGATGGCGGGTACATCGACAACCTTACAGTGGCCCACATGAAGGGCCTTGGGGCCGATGTGATTTTTGCCGTCGATGTAGGTTCAATCGATGACAACACACCTCAAGGGTACGGTGATTCGCTGTCCGGATTCTGGACCGTGCTCAACCGTTGGAACCCCTTCTCCGCTTGCCCCAACCCTCCCACACTGTCCGAAATCCAAGCACGACTCGCATACGTATCGTCGATCGACAATCTCGAACGGGCCAAAAACACCCCTGGCTGTCTGTATATGCGTCCTCCCATCGACCCATACGGAACCCTCGACTTCGGCAAGTTTGATGAGATCTACCAGGTAGGCTACGCATATGGCAAGCAGTATCTAGAGAAACTCCGCAGTGAAGGATCCCTGCCGTTACCGGAAGAAACAGAAGAGAAAAAGAAGCTACAACGTACCTTGGCGCCTCGACGAGCGAGTATCTAAGTTTCGCCATCTCCATTGCCAACACACTATTACGAATGAACGAGTTTAGAACAGCGAATGGAGTTGTCCGGATTTAATCTCCAGATTAGACTTTCTTTGTGCCTATTGGATCCATCATCTTTTTGTACCTAGAGCAAGCGCCTCGCACTATACCAACAGCGTTCACCCTTGGCATTAGATATGATAGAACTTGGCGGATAGAAGTATATAGTACAGTGCATTCATCATGGATGGTTAATTGACTGTCTTTATACATATCAGAAATCAGAATTATGCCTTTTCATCTAATACAGACAGCAGTCCGGAACCCATGGTGTTGAATTCAGGTATCGTCCCTGCATCGAACAGCATATATACCACTTGCATTTGCTCTACACAATTTGATCACGTAGTGATGATAGAATGGGATGACATGTAGTTGACTCATCTCCTGACTATATCTACCATTCCCCGTTCTGCAATTTAATCTCCCAGCTTCAGGTTTTGTTTCCCTCGCTGACATGTATAGTGGCGGTCTAACCTATATTTATAAAACTGCAGATATAGATAGGCTCCTCAAGTACTACATAGAAAGACGTGTCTGTCCCATTGTGATGTGCCGATCAACGAGCAAGAAAATATGCTAGTCATCATGATAAAATGAGGATGATGGAAGAATGACACAGGGTTGAACATGTCTGATGAAAACCTTGCACGCTGAATAGGTTACTCCTGGCCACTACTAGTACCATCTTCAAACCTCCAACACACCCTCCGTATCTACCAACCTATAGTTAGCAATGCGTCTGAAAGATTCTCTGGCTAAAAGGTTCGAGGAGAAAGGCAAAATGCAAAAGGCCCAGCAGCTTCGACGCAAACAATTTAAATGGCACAGCTATAACCCTGAACTCCGACAATTTCTTCTCACATACTTTGACCATGCGTATATCCTGCGCTTCAAGATACAACGCGAAGCCTATCTACAAATACAGCATGACACCCTCTTCCAGCAGCTCGAGGCGAATCAATCAAACGCGGATACCCTGGTAACCGGTATGCAGAGCATCCAAAAGCAGCTTCAAGACATCAACCAGGAGATCTGGCAGGTAGAGCGAGATATTGAGTCTGCATTCAGAGTTTTTCCAGAGGGGCCCTTCAAGCGCGCTCTAGGTACCAGTCGTCAAAACAAGCATTTCTATACTGGGAAGTTTCGCCAAACCCAGTGTGTATCTGTGGGTGGATGTTGTGGGCGTGAGTGTGGTTGTTGCCAGAGGCCTCGCAACCCTAAGCGGCCATATCATTTTTCGCATTGTACATCGATGTGTAAGTGTTGTGAGGATGCGGGGGGCTTTAAGATCGAGATCGATCCTTCAAACCCTAGAGAGGATCCTATGAGTGTAACTGTTTCGGTTACAGATGCAGACATGAGAGGATCAGGGCGTTTCTATGGGAGGGATTTCGTTAGTGCTTGTATCTGGGGATAGTAGTACTTCCTTTTGATCCTTGGAAGCACCGGCATAACTAAGCGTTCAATAGTCAGGCTCTAACAGGAAAGAATCATAAGCCGGTATACCCTCTCGAATTCAATTGTATTTCGCTTATGTACTCCCACGAAAGACAGACAGGCTCCTTGGTCGGTAGCAATCCTTGCGTTCCCTTTCCAGTATTTGAGATTTCCTGCCCTCCACAGTGTCAGAACTGATATCAAGAAAGACTGTCTCGATCTGCTGAAACCACCGAGAATCGTCATGCGCTAGGTATCGATATAATAGTAAAGACTGTTGGCCTTTTGTCAAGATCAAATAAAACTTAATATAGACAATAAATACACATGCTTGGCACATAAAAAGCACATTATAAGCCAAGACAAAAAGAATAGGGCCGACGAGTCGATATACCAGCCTAGGTGCAGGCCGGCAGGGAGACCATTCTCAACACATTTTGGAGGTTCTGTGCACTCTGGGGTGTATACGTCCAAAATGTCTAGTATTGGTTGCAGTTGAGCCACTGAGGGCGTGGAGGTTTGACATAGAAAGATTGAGTGGACAACCTGGGCAGGCGCTGAGCGGAATAATGGAGATGAGTGTTATTCACCACCAAGGGCAAGAGTGGACCGTGAACTCTCGAGAGTTGCAAGGAAAGGTCGGAGCCGGGCAAGAACCTTGGTACTGCAAACAAATTATACAGCCTATACTGTGTAATAGACGGGCGGTGATATTCTTGCCACAGTGGTTCTGAACTTCAGACCGTTCCACTTCATGTTAACTTTATATGGAGAATTTGAAAGCCAAAGCTCCGTAGGAACCAAAGCTACCAACTTACCTCGAACCAATGTGGTGACATCACCTTAATTAATGAATCTATGACAGGTATATGACAGAACGTTAATCTTTAAGAAATATAAAAGTTGATCAGGGTAGAATATAAATATGTCACATGAAACTATCCGGATATTGAAATTACAAATATTAGTATACCTCCAACCACTTCAATCACCCATCTATGACCTCCACACTTCTCCCCTTGCCAATGCCCCGCAAGTAGATTGGCATCTCGTCACTCGTGATAGGTGTATTATTACGTCTGCGTAGTGCATGCCATGGGAAACCTGTTCAATGGTATCGTGAATCGTTCTCGTGGATTGTCTTGTCCGCCCGCCTTATCTGTACTTGATCGAGGACGACAGTGTAGTTTTGACGTTTATGCCGTCGCGACCGGGGCATCGGCGGGACCGCCGTGAGCACCGCCAGTCTTCTCGCGGACTGGGACGTTCTCGCGACGGTAGGCCCAGAGACCGAGGACCTCGAGGAACATGCCGAAGAAGGTGAAGATGCTGGTTTTCTGTCAGTGGCTAGGGAGCATGGTAGATGGAAGTCGGACGGCTTACAAGGTCAGGAAGATGAATGCTTCGTTGGCCCTCTTCTTGGAGCAGGTGATTCCTGGGGGAGCGTTGAGGAGGCAGTTGTTGCGGTTGTAGTCTTGGGCAGCGAAGATGAATGCGGTGAGCCACCTGGGACATTTGATCAGTACTTAGGGTCTTGGGGTAGGAATGGGGGTGGACTGCATACAGATACGAGAAGACGACATCAATCCCCAGAACGAATTTGCCAAGAGCCGTGGGCATGAACGGTGAGACAAAGCCTGGCAGGAAGAACACGACCGATATGGTAGACTGGATCGTGGCATTAGCTAGTAGTTGCCAAGATGAGAAACGGGGAACATACAATGATTTCTTGATATGTGATAGACAATCCACGGGGACCCTTGTTGATGAAGTAGGAAGTGATACCCATCACAATGACAGCGCTAGACCACTGCATCACTCGGGTGACGAGCTGCAGTGGACGTGTAATCGTACTCGAGAGCATTTTGTTGTGTTGATTTGTATGTAGATGTATGTACGTATGTTTTAGTTAATAGTACAGTCAGACTGGTGGATGAACTGAAGTATATAGAAGGCGAACTCCCGTGTGGCAGGCTGATGTGATTGATGGATAGAAACCACAGGTAGGGAGCGATCAGGACCAGGTTTTATATCTACAGGGCTGCTGTGTACTGGGTATCAATCACATAACATCACACCCGAGCCAACCGACGGGCTGCATACTTTTGCGTCAGAGCTCTCGAATCATGGCGGCGGCCGCTATCGAGGATCCACGGTGGGAAGTTCCATTTTCCCCCCTCCCTGTCGAAAGGGAGGGTAGACAGAGAGGGGACGAAGGGAAAAAAATTAGAATTACCTAGTATGGAAGTGCTACCTGGCAGCTGTTGTTTTCCCCAGATGCGTCATAATTTCCTCTGCATGAAGTAAACTTTTGGCGAGTGGTTATCACGAAATGGACCAAAAAACTAGTCCACGGTTGATCCACAGATCATGTTCGCCAATCAGAGACCTTTTTGATTCAGTGACACCGACAGCTTTGGCCAACAACGTAGGACTTGCAGCTGATCCTTGTCCGGGAGATGCCTCTCGACGCCGCCCATCTGCATCCTGGCATCACATACGCAGGAAGGGTCATCATCATCACCGGAGGGGGTGGAGATTAGGGAGTCGGATTCACGGGTCCCAGTGGATGAGATCTGCAGAACGCTGAAAACCAGAGCAAGGGGGGTGCCGGGCATCAGTCCATGGTTCGGGAGGGGAATCGTTGCATGACTTTTTGGTAATCCATTTTTCATAGTATAACTTCAACGGGAATGGTCTCGTTTGCGGGTGGACTGAGCCAGTCGGCATGCCGCGGAATGCACATGTTGAGCCAATTGACCGTCCAACTTAGATAATACATGAGGTAAAAGTCAGATAAGACAAGGAAAGTCAAATGGTTAGACTTAGCGAGAAATCCAAATGGGTCAAAAGGTTGAGGTTGTTGTAGACTTTCATCCTGTCATGTTACCCACTAATCCCGCCCGGGTTTAGCATGAAGAGCAAAGTCGAGGCAGATGACCCTCCCGTGATCCTTGGTCTCGATGTGTCGATTGCGGATATTCGGGTTTCTCTGCTTTTCTACTAGTAATGTTATTTCATCGAAACTCGACTCTGCTTTGACTAAACCTCAAATTACTGGCCCGAGGACCGGATTATAGCCGATATGCAAACCCTGGATATTTACTCCGAGACGTGCACGGTGTGAGTGCCTATGTACAGGTGCACAGGTTCTGCTGATCCTCATGCAGAAATGTCTATTTGGTGGCCCCAAAATGGAAGGACTATGATAATCGGAAGAAGAGTCATGCATTACGGAGTACACGGCCGATGCACCCCGCACAACGTATGATAATAGCGGTGGACTATAGAGTGGAAATGTGTATGGGCACTGTGCTCCGTCCTCAAGGATGGAATGCCTTCGGCTCCCTCATGAGGTGCTCTAGCTACCCACCCTCAACCCTAACTAATGTACCAAGTACACGATCATGTCAGCTCACGGCCGAATTTTCTACGAACTACGCGACCCAGGCAAGAGAATCTTTCCAGTTCCAAGGGATTTCCGGCGTACCGTACAAGGATCGTCGTCTTGCCAAGGTTCACCAAAAAACCGAGGGCATCTGACTTGGCCCTAGTCGTGGTCTGGTCTGGCCGCTGGCCGTTCAGATCCCGATTTCTTAATCCATCCGTGCTGTCGAACAAAAGGTCGCAAACAAATCGGATTCTAAGACCGTAACCACGCCACACGCCCAATGCGTCATAGGGAACCCACTCAACAACAGGTTTGCCAGACAGGAAGCTATTGAAGCTTCGAGCGCTTAAACGGCTCCTGAAGATTGGCACCGGTCGATGCGCCAATGTCACTAGTAGCAAAGTCTACCCAAGCTCGGTTTTTAGTCATGACAAAGGACTTACTACTCGTTGTACATCCTCTATCCCCTCAAAAGAAATCATGTGTGCAGTTCAAGTCGGAACGGTCGGCACCTCCCATCCTTGCTCGAGTAACCTCCTCCGAGGAAATGGAGAAAGAGACGAGGACCTTTGCGATTCGGACCCACAAGGCTGAAGGATATTCTTTTTCGTCCCGGTTAACCCACTTGTTTATAAATCTACCGCACTAATTATCATCGTGACTAAGAATCCCGCTCTGATTGTCCCGCGCTCTGCTCTAGACTTTTACTCTTGATGCATGTATGATTGTGAGTTGTCGGGTTGCCTTCTATGACGTCTTTCTTTTCTTCTCTCCTTTTCCTTTTTTTCAACCTTTTGTCCAAGTAGTACCAATATTAGTCTTTCTTTGTGCTGGTCTAATTGTACCAGGTGATGTTGAAGCAACGCTGCCTGAGGCTGTACTGTGTACACCTGTCAGCCCGATCCCTTTTGTCTTATTTTCATTTTCTCCCTTGTCTATTTCATTTCGGTTCTTTTTTAATTTCCCCTTAAAAGTTATACTCTATATCTCATCATAACCTCGTTCTCCTTACATCGCAAAACATATTCCCCCGACTAAATTACCCGATAAACAAACTACTAAATTCAATCCAAGATTAAGTCTACCAAGAACTTTGACCGACCATTAAGTCCTTACTCTTTGTTTCATTACTATGTCAAGGGAGTGGACGTAAGGGGATTCATGATAGACGGAGGGGTATGACATATCCCGGATTCCAATATCCCTTGTGGGGGTTAAGTTTCATCAGGGGATTTTATATATGCAAGGGAACCTCCCTTTTATACAGAGTACCAGGTGTTGTTGGAATTTGGTTATGGGATAGATAGCGCAGCATCCATGGGACAGCGGTGCTGTTTATGTGGGAATGTGAATAAAGATAAGTGGCATTGAAATGAATTATCACAAGTCAACCGCTCCGATTAGTTCGTATCTGTACATGTTGTTCCTTGCGCCAGACTCCTGGGTTTTCTTCACGGAACCAATTTCCCACTTTTGTGCCTCGCGCCATGGATTCCCGAGGTCGTTATACGAGCTCTCCGGCCAATGGGGCAATGTACTTGCTGTCAGATGATGGACGCTGTTCTTGTGCCTCGCGCCAATCAACTGGGTCAGTTCTCTGACAAACATCACTCGGGGAGCCCTTGTCACTACTATAGAGCGCGACAACGTAAGGCCGGGTTTTCATATTTCCTATGTTGTTGACGTTGTTTACCACGTGGTGACGTTCCCCAGATCATGTTCCTGGGACTTTGTTAGCCAATGTGATGCATTCGAGGTAATATTAGTAGATTGGTGTAGAACGTACCTTGAGGTATTCGCTGCCCTTCTCGAGGTACTCCTGCCGTGTGATAGATGATTTGGTCAGGTCGGCGCCGGAAGCCCACTGCGCAGCTCCTCTCCAGGCATCGAGAATGGGATCTTTGGCACGACGCACGTTGAGCTCGGCGTCAAGAGGCAGGAAGGCCCGGAATTCGTTGCGGAAGCGCTCATCGAAGTTTTGGAAGAGAGTGTTGCCACCGGTCATGAATACATCGCGCAACAACCGAGACTGGTCCTCCGGGTTCGTAAATCGTTGGTTGACGATGTCCGCAGCGATCTCGATCAAGCCAGCCTGGTCAATACCTGCGATGGACGGCTTGAACACGACCTCGGGCACTCGGATCCGCTCCACGTTCAGGTGCAACTGATGAGCCTCCCGCTGACTTTCTGGGTCGAATGGCCAAGGTCCCCGCAGGAAGACATGGACAAGGCTCTTGGTCCAGTCCGACTGTGCAGCGAGAGTGTGGTTCTCCGTGAAGTCAGGGTCGTGTTCGAGAAGCTCCTTTTCGACGACATCGAGCATTCCGCCGAGATCCTCTTCCTCTTCCTCGTCACTCTGCTCTCCGGTGGCCACGGTACGGTAGACACCCCAGTCTTCGTCGTTCGCACCGAAGTCGTCATCATCGCCACCACGTCTTCGCTTCTTGGGGCCATCCGCAGCGAGGTTGGCAAGGGTCTTCATGCGCATCTGACTGGCCAACGATTTGCGGTTACCGAGGTCTGCCTTTAACCTGTCACGTTCTTTGATCCTTTGCAAGATGCTCTATTAAGCGATTAGCAGCAGTATCGTAAGCTTCTCCGTCGTGCATCCTTACCTGTCGGTTAGTCCTGCGTTCAGAGAGCCAGCCCTCAAAGTCGGTCTCGCGCTTCTCCCGGTCAAGGCGTTCCTCTTCTTCCCGGCGGGCCTTCTCCCGTTCCTTCTCTGCCTTCGCGCGCTGTCGGGCCTCGACATTGGATTTCATAAGTCGCTGATGGCGCTTCTCTTTCAAACCAGCCTCGTCCAGGTCCTCATCCGGTATATCCAACAAGGGGAACGACATTTCCTCCGCGGGCTCTTCGCTCTCTTCTACCCCGAGGTCCCTATTCCTGGATCGTTTGATAGAACGTTCCAAATCCCGAATGATCCGTTCAAGGTGTGCTTCGTCTTTCAGATCCTCAGCCTCCAAGATGCGCCTCGCCTCCTTCTTAGTCTCTGACTGAAGACCATTTTGAAGATCTTTGTAGTACTCGAGCTCCTGCTCCTTCTTCATGAGCTTTTCCAGCCGCATCTTGGCTGCTTGTTCCTGCAATCGACGTCCACTCTCTTTCTTGCGCTCTGCAATCCGCGCCAGTTCTTCCTCGGATTTCTCTGGCACAACATGCTCCGTAAATGGATATTGAATAACAAGATCCCTATCTTCGAGGCCCGTCCAATCCAAGTATTTACTCAGTTCCTGGTCGTAGTCCTTCGACACGTAGCAATGCTTATGGACCAAGTCTTCCATCTGGCTTTCAGTCAATCTGGCAGGGAAGGTCGGGTATTTCAGTCTCATCAGTTTCAGTAGGTAATCCGACGCATGCATTCCACCCCAGTTGAGTCGTGAGCAGTTCGAAAGTAGGGCCTTGTTATTTAGTACAGGGATGACCTGTGTTGATGTATGGGAGGAGGAGATAATCAAGCCATCGGTTCCACGATTGTACCGGTAAGAAAACAGGGAGTCGATTCCATAAGCGACTGAAGGCGCAGAGTAGCACTCGAATAGGATTTCGTTCATCACTAGAAAGGTGTCAGCGGGGCGACATCACGGCAGGATACGTAGAAGGGACCGACTCACTCTTTCTGGGGTAGTTAAGATTCGCGATCGGTTCTGTCATGACTATGGGCCTGTCGATACCACCGTTGGCTCCGTCGACCCCCAGTTTAAGGAATAGATAGTCTAGCACGCCTTCCATCACATCCCAATTGCCGACAACGCTGCTGCCAGGGTCAAACGCATAGCGCAGCTGGCCGCGCGTAGTGGCATCGACGTAGGCATCGTATCCGATAAACTGACACGCTTTATTGAGTTTCCGGTCGCGGTACCGACTCATCACCGGGGGAAGGATGAAGCGGGGGTTCTTGTCGAATGACCATCCGGCTTTGACCAAATTTGAGCCTGTTAAGGAAACCAAGATATCAGCATGCATAGATAAGCCGGGGACTAGGAGTACAGGCCAACGCACCATTGTCAATCACGATAGCGCTTGTGTCGGGCTTTGACCTGCTCCGCTGATAGCCATCTGGCTGGGGGGCGTGGTAGCCTTTGAAAGGAGGCTCTTGAGCATTATAAACCTTCGGAGGTGGTTTCGCAGCACTCTTCTCGGTCGAGTTGATCGCGAAGCGGCCGGGAAGAACCCCTTGTACTGATGTGATAGTCATGGCGTTGTGGAGGTGGGATCAAGCAAGAGCAACAGAGAGCTTCCGGGGATACGGTTCACCGCATTGCAGGTGTCGCGGACAGATCAATAGCGAGGCTTCAAAGGAGGGATGGTCTGCACTTGATTGGGGTATCAAAGTAGGTTTATAGACTATTGGCGACACTGCCCCAGGATGAAAGAATGTGAAGCTTAAAATCCCCGGTTTGAACGGCGGCGGCGCAGTGGACGGAAGAGCCACTGTTGGTCTTGTATGGTGCCAAGACATCAATCTCTCTGTCTCCTATGTCTCTGCAGGCCGACTCCGTCCTTTCAAAATGTATAAATTGAAAAAGAATAAAATGAAGAAAATGATTTTACAGTATATTGTGTTAAATAAAACTTGTACCAAAGTCAATCCCAATAGCCTTCGTTCCCTACATTTACTCCTCGTGGTATCTCATATCTGTATCATGATTGATCTCATATCCCATCATATGTACTCAAAACTCATTGAACAATCATTCGCTTTGCGACGGTTCTTTCAAGTTCTCGGTAGCTAATCCTGTCAGTCTGAGTTCATGATATAACGAGAGATGGATCAGTACCTTCCAAATGAAACAGCACATTAGATTGGTAATTCTTGAACATTTGCGCCACCAGCTCCACATTCATGTTCTGAATATTGACCTCCTGTAATACAGTTCTTAGCAAAGTGTCAGGACCATAGAGGAGATTGACATACCTGGAGGCTCTTGTTCATGACCATGATGGCCTCGTTCAGTTTTTCCTGTTCAATTATCAGTATCAATCAATATATTTATGATGGCCACAAGTAACATACAACATTGTTGATGATTCGTGAGAGAATCACCGCTTGCTGGTGCTCGTGCGGGCTCTCCTACAAGGTCTGTATCAGTACTGTCCCTAGCTCTATAGATCCATACTTAGTCAACCCACCATTGTTATTGGTATTGAATAACGAGTGTTATGAATAGAGTGCTGGTCTGGTGTTTGTTTGTGCTCGCCCATCAATACTGCCCAATGCGGTGCATCACGTGGCTTAGAGTTCTAAGTGTAAATCGAGCCAAATCTGAAGCTTTATATTGGTCTTTTTATAATGCATACTCAAATAATATTAATATTACTATAGTGTGTTGCCATACGATTCACACACCCAGCTTCTTTTGTTATAGAAGCATTGTGCGCTATTCGCCAATAGAGACCAATCCGCGTCAAGACTGTCCACCCTCCGGACCATCTCCCAGCTTCACGATCTCACCTTTCCGCACCGATCAGCAACTTGACATCTAACCTCCTGCCACTTAACCAACCAACTAAGAAAGAACAGGAAAGGCCAACGACAATGGCACCTCCCACTCCTGCCGAGAACGAAAGCCACCAACAACTCCTCAACCAACTCGACATCGCACATGTCCCGCGCCCCTTCCGCAACCCCCATTGGAAGCCTTCCCAGCGGCGCAACAAGAATGTGAAGCAACTGATCTCCGAGAGCTCTCGGAAAGAAGCCTCTCAGATGGCCACGCAAGCAAACTCCGGCGCAACGACGCCTCTCGTGGCCACCACCTCCGCCAGTACAGATGGCAGCCAGACACCCGCAGACCTGGGTCAGCGCACGAACATCGCGCAAGCGGCGCAGAACCTCTCCACGCTTGTCCTGGAGAAGAATGCACGGGCAATGTACTCGTCGGGGCCGGCGGTGACGTATACGAATATTGAATCAGCGCCGTCGCTGCACCCGTCGCAGCAGACAAGGTATTGCGATATCACGGGGTTGCCGGCTCCGTATACGGATCCCAAGACCCGGCTGAGGTATCACGATAAGGAGGTCTTTGGGGTGGTCCGATCCCTGGCGCAGGGTGTGCCTGAGAGTTATCTTGAGTTGAGGGGGGCGCATGTGGTTCTCAAGTAATGGGCGTTGGAGATTGCGTAGAGGAAGTGATGTTTTACGTGAATTTGTCTCGCAAGTGAGGTGAGCTACGATGGCTGAATTGCCGGGTTTGGATATGGAGAAGGCTAATGCATTGCAGATACTATGCTATGATTTGGTCTACTATGTAGAATGTCCGGCCATCACAGTCAAGCCCTTTCCACCCACCGTGCCCCTTTCGAGACAGGTTCAAAGAAAGCGCTCCGGCTTAATCGTGACCTTTATATTAGTCATTCTTCGCCTTGTGCTAGTTGCACTCGACTAATACCGACGCTCCACGAGCAAGAGCGTCAGTTACAGCATCCAGGGACGCTGTCGCCGCGGCGTATAAGGGAGCCAGAAGGCTGACAAGGAAGGGGGAATCAAAGAGATCCAGGGGATCTAGATGTGATTATACAAATATAGACCAGTTCCAGTCCGATTCAAAGCTGTTGTTGTACATCGCCATCATTCATTAAATGACATCTGGATATTACCAGCACTGCACAAGGCAAAGCCACCAGTACTGATTCAAGCAGTATTATTACATTGGCTCGATATATAACCGAAACATTGGACATAACGAGCAAGCGTACGCCATCCAATGGCTATCATGTTTTCAGATATCAACAACAATCAAGAAGGTAACAGTCGAAACGAAAAATGTGCGGTTAAGAACGCACTCGAAGCTAGCATGTACACCGCCTCCCCAAAGCGCCTAGCCCCAGCCTAAGACAAAAGGGGAGACGTGGCAGAAAAGGACAAGCAAATCAATCGCCATTGTTAATCTAAATAACGATAAATATTCATACTTGCTTTCTCGCCTCTATTAATGAATAATGACCATTCGACACGACTGAACTCTATTTCAATTCTACAAACTCCCCCCAAAGGAATACCCCGTGTGGTCTAGCCCGCGATCCAAAAACCACTGCAAACGGACCAGTACAATACCACAATAGTATCTTATCTATCGCGCACCTAACTTTTCGACCCATCCGGGACCTAACCTCTAGTCCACAACATCACCGAACAATTGCATCGCCACAAGCGCATGAACGCATTTTCCTCCGCTACCTAGCAAACTGCACGCTCTCCTCTTACCCATAATCCTCATCATCTCAATCACAGTCCAGAATGCCCACAATGTGGCTCTCAGATAACCAAAGTAAGCACGAGATACAAGGTCACGCGCCCAGGAACAACATCCACGATCTAACATGGTATACAGAAATCGGGGTGATCTTCTGCTCAGGCGGTATGTAGCAAGCCATCATCTACTCCATGAACAATGTTGCACGATCTTATATACGCCGTCAAACACCTGGACAAAAACACCCACTCTGGAAAAAAAGAAGAAGCGCATCAATTGACAGAGGTCCAATAAAACAGGAGCCCTCTTCCTCTTCGGTGGCGTCCTTCTCTTCTTCGATCGCTCGCTGTATGTCCCTTTCCTTGACTCCCCCATCAATATCCCCAAATAAGAGTCAAACCCGCAAAAGCTAACAACACATAGTCTGGCAATGGGAAACGTACCTCCCCCCAAATAACCCACCCCAACCCCAACTCCACTCCAGCAAGAACTAACCAAAAAAAAGATCCTTTTCTTAATAGGCCTCACGCTCATAATCGGTGTCCAAAAAACCCTAGCCTTCTTCAGCCGACGCCAGAAACTAAAAGGCACGGCCGCATTCACCGCCGGCATCCTCCTCATCCTCCTCCGCTGGCCCCTCACGGGCTTCCTGATCGAGCTGTACGGGCTATTTATCCTCTTTGGCGACTTTCTGATCACGATCGGGCAGTTTGCGGGCAATATCCCGGTTGTGGGGCCATATTTGCAGAAGGGTTTGGAGGTTTTGGCCGGCGGGAGGAGTAATGCTGAGCTGCCTGTTTAGAGGGGTTTTTCTTTTCTGTTTTATGGGGGGCTGGGTGCATGAACGGACGAAAAGGCAACGGCAAGAATAAGCCTGTCAAGCAAGGGTCTACTTAGCCTAGACCAGCGGTATCCCATCTCCTGCTGCCTCCAACCCGAACGGCCGATTTCTCCTACACCCACAACAGGCCCCACTGTTTCCCCTAGTGAGGTAGTTAATGTTAAAGGTGTGTAGGAGGTAGGTTGTTGTTGGGAAGGGGATTGTTGAGGGTTGTATGAGTATGAGTATAAGCACGGACGAGTGGAGGGGGTTGTCGATGATTATGATGAGATGGATATGATTTACTTATTTCTTTTTATGGGATTGGTGTGCTTTTCTCTGTTTGGCAGGGAGAGGGCACTGTACTGGCTTTATGTTGATTGGGGGGGGGGGGGGGGGTGAATATATATTGTAATGCTAGAATTGTAATTATCCTTCTGTTCAAATGTGTATTTCATGGGGGTCCAAAAGTATGTGACATCCCATGCTTAAAGGTACTCAGCGAATCTATCTGCATTGTATGAGGTGGTAAGTACCTTTAAGTACCAGAGGTGACAGACCTGTGGACCCCCACTGCACTTGTACGGAATGATAACGAGAAAGCCTGTTCTGTAAATCAAATCTCACAAACCACTATACTGTTGCCGATAGGCAACAATGCACAAGACAGGAAATCGGAAATCTTTCTTGCGTACTAGATCAGAACCTATGGCACATATCTACGAGCGATGCTCAATATCGGTGAACGTAAAAGGAATAAAAAAGGTAGAGTAATAGTAGAAGAAATGAAGAGGACCCGCCGGTAAATCGATTCAAAGCAGACACAGTCCTTTTTCACAAGTTAAGAAGATATTCATTTCGTTGCTACACCGCCGTCTAGTACTTGTTGAGGTAGTCAACGAGGTTCTCGACCACGGTGGCGGCGTTGGGGGTCTGAACAGACTCGGGGTGGTGGGCGATCATGACGCAGGACTTGGCCCTCACAACGACAATACCCTCCTTGCCCTAATCGGGAGTTAGCATGTCTTCGACTTTCCGATATGGAGACTCGCGGTCAGGTCTCTGGTGGGCGTTGTACCTTCTTTCCGTATAGACTGCGGTCGTCGGCCCGGATAGCGACGAACTTCTCGCCGCCGACGTGGAAACCATTGGCCATCGCCGTGGCGCTATTAGCGAAGGCGGCAGCGAGTTCCTTGAGCTCATCGACACTGATCTGTGACGGTCGTTAGTGGTTGAATATTGGAATCCCGCGGGACACGGAGTTGGCGGATCTAGTGTCATGGAGTTCGGTGGTCGCATACTGTGAAGCCGGGAGAGTAAGCCTCGGTGCCGCCAAGGTCGTGGCTCAGAACGGCAGCCTTGTCAAACTGGCCGGATCCCATCAAGCTGTATGGTTGTGGTCAGCATACATGACCGACTAACTGAACGGCGGAAAGCTTGTCGGGGAGAGCTTCGGATTGCGGAAGTGGGGTAATAGGAGAAAGTCTTAGGGGGGTGGACGGTACCTGGAATCGACATATCCTGAGAGCAAGAAGACAGACTATTAGCTACATCGTTCTATGGAGATGCTGGCTCAGACGAGCCTCGAGCAAGAACCAGTCAGGAGAAAGGGACAGTCACTTCAATCGTACCTTGCCAAACAGCAGAGTGAGCACCCATAGTGACTGATAGACGGAGAAACGACGGAGAAGGGTCGGGAAAGGGAAGTGGGTGAAGCGAGGAGAGTAGTCAACCGCGAAAGGGTAAGAAAGTAGATGGAAGGTAAAGAAGTGGTTGATTTGTTTGTGTGGGATGAAGAAAGAGGGGGAAAGAGTCCGTTGAAGTTGATTATTAGTTAAGGTAGAGCCGCGCGCCGACGAGAGACCAGCAGGTGGGGTGTGTTTGGCTGCGTTGGCAACCAAACGGGAAAAAAACACAATCAGTGATTTGCGTGCCCCGCCCTGACCATTCCTGGAGGGACTCTTTCATGCAAATCAAAATTAATACAAGAATGAAATAAAAAATAAAAATAAAATAAAATAAAAAGCCACCTCCATGCGACAGCCCTCCAGGATGAACCGCTACCCAGATCAACAACCACTCTACACCTTTCACCATACTCCCCCTACCCCAACCTGATTCCTCCTCATCCGGCCGACAGTCCCGGCAATTGAAGTACTAGTAGTGGTCGAGTCACCGCTAGATTCTCAAGCTCCCTCACGATTTAGTCTCGAGGCGGTGGAGAGAACCAAAACCGGTCTTAGTCTAATTCGGGTTTGACCTGAGCAGGAGCATCCACTTGAGCATCTCCGTCTCTTGGGTGATGTGATTCTCTCCTCCCCAATTGCCTTACCGCTTGTTGCGGTGCGCTGCAGCTGCAAGGCACGTGCCCGTCATATCTGACAGGACAAATGCAGTCAGGTGCAGATCCTCTGCCTCTTTTTCTGTGGAGTCGGAGGTTCCCCTGACAATACAGACGACCGACGGTATTCATGACCCTAACTGGTATGTAGAACACATCAGTTCGGTTGTTGAACCCCAGATAGTACTGCTAGTCTGTACCTGGAAGGGTCCAACAGTGCCGTTAATAATAGCAGTATGGCATACTCTACAAGAAATGATGCTTGATTTGGCCGTAGGCTGTGCTACCAGACAATTAATCGAAACCAATCCATGATATGTCATAAACACCGCAAGAAATATATATCGCCAACGGCTTTTTTTTTAATTGGGAACGCCTTCCTGAACCCACCCAATCAACGGCAGATCAACAAGTCTAAAGTGGCTCATATGCATTACGATCCTTTTAGTACATACGGAGAGTTTCCCATCCCAGCCACCCAATCCTGAGTAAACATCGCTGAGCTTCAGGGGTGGAAGGCTGGGGAACCACCGGGTAACAGTATCCCAACAACCTGCATATACAGAGTAGAATAGACGCGGAATAATAGATAGCTTGAAGGCAACAAGGCTCGCCTTTGACTTGCCTTATCGTAAAAAAAAAAAATAGCGGTCAGCGACAGACACATACCCGGCTATCTCAGGAGACCAATATAATACCGTCGGCCAGCAGCAACCCCTGAAAACGCCAACGCCTCCTGTAGATACAGAAAAGAAACCAGGTAGCCAAGCAAAGAACATATCACCAGAATATGGATTAATCGAAAACGGGATTGTCACCTCCGCGACGCACGCAGATCATCCATCTCCATCCAGCCATTCGCTCGATTCACCCGAGCACCGGCTGAACCCATCTTCATGTTATTAGTCGATCTCTCCCCATTCTCAAACCCATTTGGGAGTTCATATCTGCTGCTCCCCGGTAGCTCAACTCTCCGATTATCATACATCTTCTCGGGGATGCCGCTGCGCTCATGGTGGACGCCTCTCGTGAGCCGCTCTTTGCGGGCCTTCTCTCTTTGTGCCTCCTGGCGTTCGAATGCTGTCCGACAGGTCATTAATCCATAATTCATCCGAAGTGATATGTATTAAATCGAAGAGGAGACGCTTACCTCGCCAAAAGAAGACATATACACCCATGATTACGAAACAGGCCGCAAGAAAGGCGAACATAACCCCCAACTCGTGCCCGAGAGAGGACATCGGCGTGAAAGGGGGGATGTTCTTCGGTTTCTCGTTATCATTGTGCATCTTTCTTCGCCTCCCGCTGCCCTTGTTACTTTCTTGGGTTTAGAGACGACTGGCGCTCGATGCGGTGAACTATATCAAGAAGGTGAACTGAGTGAGATCTCAATATACAACCCCAAGAATCCATGGATGAATCAAATAACCGACCCGGGAGAGGGTCGGTGACATTTAAGTTCGTGCTGTCAGCCTGCCAAGTCGCATGCGACAGCAAGGCTGATCCTTGTTTGTCCGGGGGAGGCTTCGTGTTGCCCGCATGTTGTTTGCCGGCGCCCAAAAGAACAAAGACGTGAGACGTCGGGCCTTTTTGATTCTATTGGCTATCCGGTATTCTGCCGTGAACGCAAAATAAAGAAAAAGGAAAAGACACGCAGCAAGCATCGTTAATGGTAATAATAATATGTATATATTGATTGATTGGTTGAATCATCATGCATAGTAGATACATCGTCGACTAAATCCGAGTATACCAAGACCGGAGCAGAAAAAAAAATCTAAGGAAAAAGGTATCATGTACACGTAGAAAAAGCGTGGCAAGCCCAGTCTATAGAACAGTCGGGTATGAATGCAAGTGCAGCTAACAATGCAGCACATAAGGTGAAGAAGGTATGAAACACGAACAGCAGAGCCCATATACTATTCACAGAGTATTACAGGGCTCTCTGCTGTCGGATGCATGAATGCAAATACGCTCGTAGCAATAAGCAACCACATGGGTTGCCAGGTCGTAGAAGAAGATTAGGAAAAAAAAGACGAACTCCTTATGCATACCCCACACAATGGGGGATGAAATGCGATGGTCGTTGGTCATCCGATAGGCCAACTATGAGACTTGGAGAGAAGGGCTCGAAATCTCAAGCCCAGATGCTTGACAGCACGGCGATCACCCCAGCATCACAGCTGCGAGCGCTGTGCATGTCAGCCCGATAGCCATTCCTATCCATGGTGTTTGGCCAAGAGTGCCTTCACTCCGCGCGCGCAGCGACTTTGTTACCCCCGCTGATGCGGTCAGTGTTCCCAACCCAATTGATCCACTGGAGGGTTGCGGCCATTGATCCATAACGGTTGTTGTGAGAATCTCTTCCGTGGTCGCGGCAGCCGGGGGCTTGGCTGCACCAGCATTGGCGATTTGGACCAATTGACGGGCTTCCAATGGTGACTTCAACTCATGTTCTCCGCTTTGAGGATTTTGAATATTTGGCAACGGGACCGGAGGCGTAATGTTCGGTAGCGAAGGACTGGGCGCGACAGCGGCAGGTGCCTGATCAGCCTCAGCGGCAAATGCTACCGTGGGCGCTAAGCACAGAAGAATATTTGACGTCTTCATGTTGATTGTGATCTGAGCGATTTGCGATGATAATACGGGACTTTTCGAGGGATCGTCTCAGAGGGTCCACTGATCGGACGGAGAATCTCGCAGAAGGGAAGTGAACGGTAACGACAGTTCGTGACTAGATCAAGTATATCGACAACAATGATCCAACCTCAAGTAAGCCTGATGTGGAGGAGTCGCGTCGCAACAGGGACCGAGAGGGTGTCAGGGGGGGGGGAACGAGGCTAGTAAGCGAGAGACTCCTCACAGGGGAGTCCCGAGACACGTTTCAGGAGATGAAGGGTGACGATAGGAACAATCAGAACACAGAGAAAGGAAGTAACACCCAACAAAACAGAACAGCGACCACGACGACGGGGGAACAGGAAGAGGAAAAACAAGCAGTGCAGAGATGGAGAACTGAGAGCAGTTGAAGGGAGAAGAAAACCCGGCCAGACGCCCACCGACCCCCGTTGGCCCTGGAAATTAGTTTATTTCCTGGAGTGTTTGGCTTCTTTCTGTTCGACTAACAGGCACGGCCCCACTCTGAGACCCGCCTCTGCGTTTATTGCAGGCGATCTCATTGGGCGGTCACCAGCCGCGTCAGCACGGGCTGGCAGTAGCGCGAGTCGATCGATGTCTCGTGCCACTCACAGAAGCTTGTCAGGGATTCGAAGCCAATCCAAGGCGGTGGAGCCCCAAGACGACCCTGTAACAATCGCCATCGGACTTTCCCCAGTTAGTACCATGGCTGACCCGTCTATGGCCAGTGAGGGTGCCTGAAGGCTCCACGCGAGGTTGGTGTAATTTCCTGTTTGATTGTCGCCTCGCTTTGAGCCTGGGACCCTTATCGCAAGTCGTACCGTCATGGGCAGCAGCTAACGGAAATCATGCATAAATTTAAAAGATAAGGTAAGAAACCAACAATAATCATAACAGATAAAATTAAAATAAATATAAA